TGGGAAAACCACAAAACCTGCAAAGCCACAAAACCGCAATGCCACAAAACCACAAAACCGCAAAACCGCAGATCCGAAAAAAAGTACTGCAAGATCTGCAACTTGGATGGACAATGCCAAAATGATCCCAAATCTAGGTGTACTACTCAGGTAAGAGTTAGATGAAGTAATTTCTCTTGTGCCACAAGAACTACCTAAAGCCATTGTTCGTTAAGAAGCAACAGATCCACGACAGGGAAGGAGGAGAAAAGAGAAATGACAGAAACAGGAAAGAAATGTGAAGGAGAAACCATCACGAACCGCAAAACACAAATCCTTCGTCAGATCCTCAAAGAAAGAAGAAAATAGTTTGTCTTACCTTAGATCTGTCGGTCGAGGGACGACGAAAGAGGAGAAGGAGAAGGGGACTCGAGGGAAGCAGCGGGGAATCACCTAGGGTGGACGGTCAGACGCGGGGAAACAGCGGGAATCACCGAGGGTAGGTAGAGGGAAAAGGGTAAAATTTAGGTCGAAAGCGGGAGAAGCCACAGATATCCCGCGGCCCGCTTTCGCCCCGTTGCCGCCGCCAAATTGCCCAAAGTCGCGAACCAAACAGACATCTTTCGCGAGAAGTCACGGCGAATGCCCGCGCCGCACCTAAAAAGTGCTCCCAAACAGAGCCTAAGTCATAAGAGCTTGGGTTGTCATGTGATTATGAATCTTCTGTTGTACAAAGTTAGTACATGTTCATATTCAACATTTTATATCTATTTTTTTTCAATTAATTTTAACAAGTTAATTTTAAGCCGAACACGAATACTAATATTTAAATCCAGTCGAACATTAACATACTATTCATGAGTCAATTTCAACTACGAGTTTATTTCGAACACGAGGAATTTCCAATAAGCCAAACTCAAGCCAAGCCCGAAGTAGCTCAAGCTCAACTCATGTAAAGCCCAAGATATAAAGTTGTCCCAGTAAACACATATGCTTAAACCTGAGATCAGTTTTATAATTTTAACCCAAAGTTAATTTTGAGTTTTAGTTTTCAGCTCCTAACTTGTTTTAAAAAATATTTTTAAACACTTTTTATAATTATTCTTATGCAAACTTATTGTTAAAAGTATATTCTCAAAATATTAAACAGAAATAAATCTATGATTAAATTTAATTGTTTAAACATTTAATTACGTCAAATTGTAATATCTTATATCTAGATATTGTTAATAACAAATAATGTATAATTAGTATATTACGAAAATTCAATTTCAAACTAATGATAAGCGTACATGTAGAAAAGTCCGGTCAATATATCCCAATAAAAATTTCAATCAGGATGGGCTTTGGATATGAACTTCTATAAACAATACCTAAAAAAATTATTAAATAATTTTATCGTGATGACCGATTTTCATAATTTATGGGGCTACATTTTTCTATATTATCGGTTTATCACTATTCATGAAATGCGCAGAATTATATAAAAATGTTCCAAAAAAATATAGAAAAGTAGGTTCAGTTTTGATCTGGCCGTTTGAAAATTTGATGCCAGACTTTTATTTTACGGATCACATGACGCATTTAACCGAAGAGTTCACATGAATTAATACATTCAATTAAATTCTCGTGAACAAGAAACTAGGAGATGTTATTAAGAATGATCGGGGAACGTGTCAGGAGATATTCTGCAGGGTGGGGGATCAGTTCTCAATACGATCAACATGAGACTCTCTTTCAGGTTGGATATCGATCGAGTCATGGTTTACAAAACAATCGACAACTCTCATTGATCGAAATAGTCCCCGACCTTATTATATATGAATAACTTTGTATTTATCAAAGAGGCCACGTGAAAAATTAGTACTATGCTCTAATATATATGTATATGAATGTCCAGTATTATGCTCTCTATCTCTTAATCAAACTTATTTGAACCATACCAATATTTATGAAGTCAGTTTCAAAAAGAAGAAAAGGAGAAAGAACACAAATATTGCATACATAGAACAATACAAGAGGCAAACTTGATTATAGTTTAAGCTGCGACCGCCATTTTTGCACCATTAATCCTTCTCTTCCTTTCTCTGGAAAGCAACTTTGCAAAGTGAACGAGGGCTTCTTCATTCGTACCTCCACCTTTAATGGGTTCATATTTCCCAGTTTCTATGTTCACCTTCGATACAGGCTTCTGTATCAAATTCTCTCCAATCTTCACCAACTCCTTCAAGTTCTCCTCCGTTGAGATGTCCACAGATGATGTGTTTCCCATCAATGTGTCATCCTTTCCAATCAAATATTTCATCAAATTAATCTCTTTCTTAATTAAAAAAGCAGTAATTAAGTACTCTTTCATATAACTAATAATAATTTTTTTTTATCTGTAGATGCAAACATACCTGAATGCGAAGATAGTTCTGCTCCGAATTTTGAGTTTTGAAGAAAATGGAAGTCATGATATCAGCCATGTCTGTGCTTGATTGTGAATATATGTCGATGATAGGCTTGCCGCCATTGTTAAAAAGCCATCCAAACACTCCCCACTTGGCTGCGTCTCTCGCACTGTAGTACTCTTCGGCCTTTGCTGCTCCCGTACCGAGAGACAGAACAAGAAACTTACTGTATTCCACTGGTTTTATCGGAAAGTAATCTTGTCCTTCCTGGAATATATTCTTGCTCACCAAATTCATGGCAAGCAACGTCTGCATAAATTCATATACATACTTTAATTTCATCCCATCATGTTCAGCATATACATTTATACATATATATATAGACAATATATATACAGAGAGAAAGAGAGAGAGATTAAGTTACAGGGTTATTTGCGGCAAGTCCTCCATCGATGAGATTGAAGCTACGAGTATTGCCATTAGAGTCTTTAGTTTCGAAGTAGTGAGCAGGTAAGTAAGTTGGTGCAGCAGAGGTGCCAATGCAGATGTCTGATAAATAAGCATCTTTCAATGGAGCAGAATTTCCCTATAAATTAAAATGGAAATGATTAATATATAGTTGAGTTTAACTAATTAGGGATCAATTAAAAGAATTTTAATTAATTACCTGAAATGAGGAGAAGATGATGGGTTGAAGGAGTTTAATGTCAAAAGTTGGGATTACAACGTTGGTTAGCGTTTGATGCAGCTTTGTGTCTCCGAGGATATCTTTCAGCAGAGAGTGCAGGTACTTTCCATCATATTTCGGTCCAGAAATGGCGGTGAAAAAGCTTCTTGTATAGCGAAACAACCCCAATCTGCAGCAATTGTTTCATTTTTCTAATATTTATGCTTATATTCGACAACATTTATCTAATTAAGAGGCATAAAAATAAATTTCAAATATATGTTGATTATGAACTTCACTCATAAGATTAAGATCGAACTTCTAAGGATTCAAAATGAGTTCAAGCAGCAGATTTTAAACGGTTTTCCATCGCAAATATGTCTTAAATAAATTAATTAGGATTAAGCATACCTTTTTTGAGGAAAAATCTTAGGCGAATGCTTTAAATAGAAGTCATTAATATCTCTGGCCGAAAAAATAGGGCGATTGGTCTTATTAGGAGCCGTTAACATTGTGGTGACCAGACCACCAGTGCTTGTTCCAGCAATCACATCAAAATAATCTGCAATCCTCGCTTCCTCTCCATCAAGCTCCTACAATAATTAACCAACGCCTTTCTTAATTATAATTAATCAAACTAAATTATAAAAGCTAACTCATGATTTAAGCAGCTCATAATATATAATCAGGAAAAAAAGGTAATTTTCATACTTGAAGCTTGGATTCAAGAAAGGAAAGAATAGCTCCGGGGATGATTCCTCTCACACCTCCTCCATCTATGCTTAGAACAGTAACAAAGCTCCCCTGACAGCGAGGAGAGGCACATTCAATGTTAGCCGCCATTACTGAGCACCTCAAACCTTTGGAGCTTTTACTAAGTATAAGGATGATTATGAACCTTGTTGAAGATAATAGCAGACTGGTTTTGATTGTTTTGGCTATTGTGACTATGGTGATTAATTTATACTCCTCTCCTTTTACTATTTAGCGAGTAAAATAATTAGAAGCCGTCTGTTACTTGTCTTACACATTTTTCTTCTGAAATTTGAATTTGTCAAAACTGTGTTGGAGTTAAGTGTTCCAAGAAAATTTCTTCCACATTGCTTTGAACAAGACCATCTCAGCCAAGTTGTGTCGGTTCAGAAGTCTGGATCCATTTGGAAAAATATTGAATTTTTTATATAATATCCTTTCCTTATTGTTCTTTATTTTTAATTTTGAAGAGAGTCTAAGAATGAATACAACACAAATTACAATTACTGTTAACTTTTTAGTAGGGATTAAAGTACATACAAATAGAATTTTAGCTCCATGTTGTATACCAAATTACAGCCATACATAGGTATTTGAGAAGGTTTATACACTGATAAGACTTCAGGAAGCTATAAGGGCTCAAAGACCCATGAAACAGGCCAAGCCCATCTGCTCAAGTGGCTCGACCCAACCCACGTGCTGAAGTGGTCAAAGTAAGCCCACCTGCCAAAGCGGTCTCCAACTGCCATACCGATCAAATTTGAGTTCACAATGCCAAAGTGGTGGATGTTTAACTAGTCCGGGGCAAACCCCACCACTCAATTACATAAGACTACATGTGTCTATTTTTATTTATGACGCTATCTGATACCCACATTACGATCTTTTCATTTAGACATTGTGGACAAGCATAATACCGTATGTGATATAATTTTATAATTTTTTTTATCTTTCTTCCTTTTATGCATAATGGGAAGGATGACGACCTAAAAAGAGATGCTCATTCCAAATTAACTATTTTCTCTAGTTTTTTTTTTCAGGAATTCAAGAATGGAAGCAGGAACAAGAACCCTAAAAATACATCAACTCCGTAATTTCTTTCTAAACTAGAATCTCTCTAGGGTTATACCGACTCTCCATCCTAGAAGGATTCAACACATATATTCAAACAATTTCTTAGTTTAGGAAAGCTTAAAAAAGATAAAATAAGAAAAGTCAGCCGATCTACTTGTTGATATCATTTAAAACATGAATCAGTTTTGGGTTTTTGCACTTTAAAAAAATGGTAAATAACATGTTGCTTGCTCAGTTTAACCATAACTTGATAAGGATCATGTACTCTCATACATAAGCATATTGGTTCAAGGATTCACTGCCTCAAATAAAATACAAACTTGATAAGCATCATTTTTGGTCTAAATATCTATGTTAGGGAATGCATTAAAATAATGAAGATTTACATACATGCAACTCAATTCCTATGTATTTACATATCTCACACTGAGCTATAATTTTTAATATATGTATGTAATTACATAAAAAATGAGCGGTATGTATGTAAATGATCAGAACCATAGATTAATCAAGGGGAAGAAAGCAATGAAGATAATCGAATTCCTGAGGTTTTTATTTTTATTTTTAACCAAATATAAATTCTTATATTTTAAATTTTTGTATATTATAATTTTTTTATCGATTTTCTAAAAAAAGAATTAGATTACAAGCTACGAACTTGAGTCAGGACTAATTTAAATTTAAACAGCCAAGCTTTAGCGGCTAGTGTTCGGCTCGTTTGAAGTTACTCTTGTTCGAAATAGGCTCGTGCTCGAAATTGACTGATTAACAGTGTGTTCATGTTTGACACGATTTAAATATTCACTAAAATTAATTGGAAAAAATAAATGTCAGGTATTAGATTCAAACCCACACCAATTCTGCGCACTAGAAGACACATAATCAAATGACCTCACAAGCTGTAATGATTTAAATTTATATTTAAATATATATAATCTATTAACATATAAACAATACATATAATTTCTTTATTTCAACATAAATAAAAAAAAAAGTCAAACACAAGCAATTCACAAAAAATGAATTTTTTTGACAGCTTTAATGAGACATTACACTAAAATATCTGAATTGCCAGCTTAGCTAAAATACATATTACCTTTCTTTTTAATTTGTTTTGTTTTCCTTTTAAGAAGAAAATTCTTTGTAGACAAGGAAAGCTTGAAAGGGTTATAACAAATAATTAGTTAAAAAAAAAACAAAAACGAAATTAAAGGGTCAGCGGATGCAATCTAAACATGGGTCAGAACCATTTTCGGCGGTGCACGTTTAAAAATGGCATATAATATGTTGTTGCCTGCACGTCCAATAATTAGTCACCAAACTATATATATATATATATATATATATTTATCCAACAACACATATAAATAAAAAATAAGTAATAGGAAAGAGACATCTAAATTTCAACATGAAAAATCCTATAAAAGGAAAAAAAAAATCATGACCCCTACCTTAGTTGAAATGATCAAATATGTAAATATAAGTATATATGTACACGCTTCTCTTGAACTAGAGAATATGAAATTATAATGTCGATATACAATAGTAATTCAATAATAATAGAGAGTTGCAGGAGAAGAGAGGATGATGGTCGTGGACGGTGGCTATAACACAACCATCCATGAATATTGTAGGTTGTGGCTGTAGGGCCACCTTGTCTTAAAGGTCATGGTTGAGAGTCATGACAGCAGTTGGCCATGTAGGTCGTAGATGGTTGATTGAGAAGCGTTAGCTTGCCATAGAGACTGTAATAGAGAGTTACAGGAGTTGTAATATGTGTGGGTCGTACTTTGTCACATAGGCTGTGGTGGTGAGTTGCAATAATGTAAGTAGATTACAGAGGTTAGAGTTGAGACCTGCAACAACATCCGTGGGTCATAAAAACCAGAGTTGGGAGCTGTGTGAGCTGTAAGTCACGTAAGCCTTAGTTGGTCACATAAATCATAGTGGTGAGTTGCAATAACATTCGTAGGCCGCATGGATCAGAGTTGAGAGCTGCATGAGTTGTGAGTCATGCAAGTCGTAGTAGGTCACATAAGTCATAGCGGTGAGCTACAATAACGGTTGTAGGGCACAGAAACTGGAGTTCGGAGCTGCATGAGCTGTAGATCATGCAGGTTGTAGTTTAATCACATATGTAGTAGTGGTGAGCTGCAACAATCTCTGTAAATTACAGAGGTCGGAGTTGAGAGTTATATGAGTTGTGAGCCACTTAAGTCGTAGTTGGTCACACTGGCCATGGTGGTAGCTGCAATATCATCCGTAGGCCATATAGGTCTGAGTTTAAAACTATAATAATGTCCGTAAGCCACATAGGCCGAAGTTGGGAGCTGCGTGAGTTATAAGTCACTTGGCCATAGTTGGTCTCATATGTAGCAGTGGTGAGCTGCAATAAAGTCTGTAGACCGCTTATAATATGTATTTTAAATTAAGTTTGAATTGAAAGTCTTTAAATAGTTAATTGACTAAATTTCTTTCAAGTTAAACTAAATAAATTTTAAATATGAGCTGAAGTTTCCAATGGAATTGCCAGCTTAGCTAAAATACATATTACCTTAATTTTATTGTCATAATTTTTTTTTTCTCAATACCCATTACCTTATAATATGTATAAATGGTCTATTCAAATATTTATTGAAATGAATTTTTGCCCTCAACAACATATTCCTCCAATGAGGAAAAAAATAAATTATTTTTAAATCCAAATATCCAAGAGGTAGTACTTCGTATGATTGGTGCGGCCAATATATGGATCGATTAATTTATTATTATTATTTTTTATTATTGATCTCTCAACTTTAATCATGTCTTCATTTGAGGCCTTCTTGTTGTTAAAATAATTAACATATGATTTACGTTTAAAATAAGATTGACTAAGATTATTAAAAATATTTTCCTCACCTTCAAACAAAACAAATGATAAGAAGAAAGAAAATAGGCAAACAACTAGAATGTTATAATTGTCGAATCCTTTAGGAAGTATGGTCTCGTATCATTTGTCAATTCATAAAATCAAGAAGAGGCCTGTGTAAAAAAAGGTGTGGAAGAAGGCAGAGATGTGTTTTCTTTAATGAGATGATCATGGATAGAAGAGAAAGGGAGTCACACACACACAAAAGAGAGAGAGAGAGAGAGAGAGAGAGAGCGAGCGATAGAAAGAGAAAGAGTTCCATTTTTTTGCTCTCCCTCGAAGAGAATATTAAACTATGATACATGCGACATCAAATATGTTCATTATGTACAATGATATGAACGCCATATGACTCATAAATGATCATGGGCGTACGTTAAAACTTTGATGTTGATCCTCATTCAGTTGTTTGTCAATCTCGAGGACTACTAGCTGGGCGAACTAAGTAGACAAATTTACTTGTGAAAGCAACCGACGGCGCTCCGACACTTGAGGATGAATATTAAAGTCTTCTGTTGAGAAATTAGGGAGAAGAAAATAATAATCGACATAAATCCAGAAAAACACAAAGAGATTTACGAGTTTCTGCAAAGATGCCTACGTCCTCGGGAGCAGAGCGGCAACTTCCTTTTCAATATTAAGAAAAGAGTACATAATACAAGATTCAGCTCTCGGAGTCTCAGAGACTCACCTAGGGTTACAAACATGATATATATATAACCTTATAGTACAAGATGTAATTTCTTAAATTACCTCTGTACCAAATTGCGGGGTGTTGCCCCCGCACCCCCAACCCACATAATGAAACTCCCCCGATTGGATAGATCCTTCCGCTCCACTCAGCTCGTGGGCTCCGCTCCGCTCCAGCATCTGTCTCATTTATGGTATATGAGCCATACCTAACAAATCTCCACCTTGGCGAATATCCAGCCCCTTAGGAGAAATACATATCTCCAATAAATCTCCACCTTGGCGAATATCCAGCCCCTTAGGAGAAAATACATAATAGAATTTCTTATGCACCAATGTGGGTTGGGCCACCACTCTTTCGCTGCTCCCTCGCTGATCCTCTCAACTCACTAAATTCCAAGAGACACAACTCTTCAATTCCAAAAGACTTCATTTTATTTCAAGAGACTCCAAATTTTGGTATTATGAGTCATACTTAATAAATCTCCACCTTGGCGAATATCCAGCCCCGTAGGAGAAATATATATGCCCAACAAATCTCCACCTTGGCGAATATCCAGTCCCTTA